TAAGAACATAGCTCTAGAGTTATTAACCCTGATTAATGAGAAATGTGACTCATTAGAGGTTTAAAGCAGCGTGTCTGAATAAGTCTGAGGTCTGAGCATCTTAGTGGACACTGGAACTGGCAGGGTGGACACATTTCAGCTCTGAGGCTTCGATTTGAAAACACCCTCCCTACCTCAGCTGACTCTCTCCTGTCTGAGAGTTTGGAACACTCAGGTGACAGTTTAGCCTAAATTTAAATTCACAGTTGATGATTAGAAATGTTGGCGAGCCGAGGCGGCCGACTGAGGCTGAAAACACATCGCTTCTGAGAGATAACTCTGTTGTTCAGATGAAACCAAAGGGTCAACCTAAGAAGAAAAAGAGAGGTTTTATTGTATCCAGTGGATTGAGAGGAGCGCCAAGAGGACCTATTAGAAGCCAGATTTTATTTTGCGTGAATCTGCCAGAGGAAGAGAATGATTCTCAGTATCTGGCATCTGTAAATTGGACTCAGTTTTTTGAGGAAACCATACTTCAATTGAAGACGGCATTGGTGAATGGGACGAAGGGGGGAGGTGAAGTAGACCCTCATGCTATTGACTGCGTGAGTATGGAGCTGATTTAATCAATAATTTTTAATCAATAATCAGTTATAGTCATTAAAATCCATCCCATAGTTACACTACGGTCCACAGAGCACTGCTAACAACAAAGGTTCTGATTTGTCAGCTGGTTTCAGATGGAGGCAGAGCTGAACTGTTTCCAGATGTGTTAAACCCTCTGAGGGTTCAGAGCTGATCCAGCTGTGGATTTTTGGACTGCGTCTCTGCGTCTCACTTTCATTACAGCTTTATTGACAGGAAGGAAACCTCTGGCTCTGCTGTAATGTCCTCTCTCTCTCTCTCTCCTCCGTGGAGTCTCTATGGGCCTCGACCTCGTCTGACTCAGCGTTGGGCTTCATGATGGCGGCTCAGCTGCTTTTCATTTGTCCACGCTTGGAGGAGGAATCTGCTCGTCTTCCTCAGCAGGACAGTTCATGTGGCAGCAGCTGCTGAGAAATAGTGTCATTATTGCACCATAATAGAGAATTTACATTTGATTAGACAATAATCAAAGTCAATTATAAACCTTCAACTGAACCTTCAGGGGAAGTGAACGTCTCATTACTGTTTCATTATTTACAGCTTTATATTGAGTGGTTAGTTCACTGTCTGTAGTATGGTTAGTTCACTGTCTGTAGTAAACAGTGGGACAGTGTCTGTGGTACGTTCACCTGTCTGTAATAACAGTGTCTGTGGTTAGTTCACTGTCTGTGGGACAGTGTCTGTGGTTAGTTCAGGGTCTCTGACTAAGTCTGATACCTGGCTGCTGTTGATCGAACTCACATTAACGGAGGAATGAAGACGGACGATGGAAGCAGCAGAGAAAAACATCAGTAAATGTCAAACTTATTAATCATGGAGTGAAACAGTTCTCAATCACTATAGTTTCCGATTCTCAGTGATGTCGCATCAGCGCATCAGAATCATCTTTCTGAGGAAAATGAAGACGAAGAAGAAAATGGAAGCAGGTGTGTGTGAATGTGTGTGTGTGTGAGTGACACACACACACACACACACACACACACCTGAGGGCTGAAACACTAAATTAGAGTCCCTCACTCTGTTTATGGAGAGATAATAACAGAGTGTGTGTGTTGGTCATTATCAGATGTCCTGTGTGTCTGTAAGAGAAACATGAACAAGAAGTAAAGTTGTGTTTATGGTATGGATTATTCTACAGTATTCGTATTTGTACTACTCAATTATTATTCACGTCTTTGCATTGACTTTGTATGTAATCTACTTGCATGAAGAATAGTATAAGTGTTTGGTTTGAGAACACTAGAGATTGTGTGTCTTCGTCACTGTAACAACTGAGAAATGTCTCCTAAAGTCAGACTTTCCTTTCTTTGCTGTAAAAACATGCTTTAATCTTCCCAATGCAGTCCTCTAGAACACTGGTTCCCAACCTGGGAGTCAGGATTCGCACTAGGGGTCGCCAAAGCTCGAAAGCAGGGGCTTGCGAGGACCTTAAGGGGTGTAGTAGGTGTACATGTCAGAAGGACTTTTTTGCAGAAAGCTAAAGGAAATAGTTCTTTTTAAAATGTACATTGTTATTTCAGGAGCACAGTGTACGCTGACAGAGCCTCACTCTCTCATAAACAGCCTCGTCCTGCACCAGAAAACAACCTAATGTTTGCCGCTCCTCCTCCTCCCAGGTCCAAGGAGATGATAAAGGAGGCCATCTTGGACAATGACTTCATGAAGAACCTGGAGCTGTCTCAGATCCAGGAGATTGTGGACTGCATGTACCCGGTGGATTATGGGAAAGACGCCTGCATCATCGAAGAGGGCGACGTGGGCTCCCTGGTCTACGTGATGGAAGGTGAGGACATGTTTTTTTCTGTCCTTGAGGGTTCTCTGACTCTGACTGTTGGTCTTTTTGTTGATTTTTCTTGGAGCATCTCAGTTTTTTAAGGTTTCTGACTTTTCATCACAAACATTTATTTATTTTCCAGTTTTGGGGATTTTTAGACTCGGACATGTAACAGCCTTTTAGGATTTTTACTTGGATGTGTCTCAGTTGTCAGAGGTTTCTGTCTTTTGATCTTGAGGTTTTTTTTTTATTTTGACCTGTCCTAGCCATTAGAGGTTTTGGACTCAGACGTGTCAAAGTCTTGGAGGTTTTTTGTCTCCATCAGACTCTCAAGGGCCTTTAGACTCGGACTTGTACCAGCCTTTTAAGATTTTTTATTTGGACTTGCCTCAGTTGTTAGAGGTCTCTGTCTTTTGGTCCTGAGGGTTTTTTATTTGTCTCAGCCTTTATGAGTTTTTGACTCAGACCTGTGAACCTCTCTGAGGGTTTTTTCTCCATCATGAGGATTTTTTAAAGTGGACTCATCTGAGGTTCGAATTCTCAAAGACTTTTAGATAAAGACCAGAAGGTCTTGACTCGAGACTTGTTGAGGCTTTTTGGACTTTTCTCTGTTTTGACTATTTGTGTACCGCAGTTAAAAACTCTAGTTTATCTATATTCTGTATTCGTAGGTGTAATATTTCACACATGGACAGTGATCTTTGGGTGAGTCAGTCTGTCCAAACTTCAGAAATCTGAAGAAATCAAACGTCAAAAAAGAAGAAATGAAGGAAAGACAGGGAAAACAGATCACAGAGATACTTTTTACATTTACTTCCTTTGGTTACACTTTACAATTTATGGGTCTTTTCATTTTCCAATTTCCTTGAATCAATCATCATCATCTTCTTCTGATTCTCTTCTGATTTCTAATGAGATTTTCTCTTTAGGATTGGTAACTGAGATGAGAACTGAATTGTTTTAGAAATGATTTTTAGGGTTGTTAAAATGAGACGAGGAAGATGAGCAACCAGGAAACTGAAGCATCGCCTTTTCTTTTTAATGAGAAGCTGCTTAAAGTTCTGTTGAGGCTCTGAGCTTTGTGACATTTCCAGCAAAAGTCAAAAGTTGCTGCAGAAGTTTCCTGCAGCTCAGTCCGACCTTTAGGACTTTTCGCAGATGCTGGTCTTCTTCCAGCAACGTGTCAGACTCACGGGGCGTTGCGTAACGTGTCAGAATGCCTGAAGGCTGCTGAACGCTCACCTCCTCTCAAACACAGCTGCACTCTTCAAGTTTCTCTTCATAAATACCATCATCTTCTCTCTGTCGCTGTGCTGCATCTCTCCTTCCTCAGTCTACACCACAGACACATTCTTCAAATACACAAATATACAAGTACACTGGATATACAAGAAGGAACTTCACCACGTTTTGTCCACTGGAAGGACACGCTAGAGGACACCAGGTGCTGTGAACCTTAACTGGGAAGTCAGTCTTTATAGATGGTCAAAAATGACCTCAAATTCATTTGTTTTGTTGAAAGCGACTTATTATATATATATATTTTATTCATATTTCCCCACACACATGTTTGGTGTTGAACCCCTGACCCTGAAGCCACCCCATCAGGTTTGTGTCCTTTCTCTGCTACATTCACTCTGAGCTGGTTGTTATATTTATAGTTGTATTTAAGGTTAGTGTATTACATAAGAAGCCTGTTTAGTAACGTGATCCTCCCACTTAAAACACAGGTTGATGTTGTGTGTTCGGACTGAAGCTGCAGTCACAGGACGACTGTTGAACTTGTGTGTGTTTCTACCAACAACTGAGCCGTGAAATCAATTCATTTTTCACTCAACCTTTGCTTTATGTTATATCGATACACGATTGTTCAGTTAAGACCGGAGAAAACTGTGTTATGGATTAAAGAGGCTTTTAAAAGTTAAGGTCAGTGTGTTAGGGGTTAACGTGGCCTTTCAGAAAGGACCTTCTAACCAGTCACACTGTCATGTTTTAGGACAGTTTTTTAATCTTTTTGTCTCAGTGTTTCTGGACTCACAGCGGCTCGACAACAATCCTCCAGATGGCCAATCCTCCGTGCCGGTGGGTGGCAGCGAGTGGTGTGAACCAACTGATGACATTTATATCTAAGTAAAAGCTGCTGGGCGGATTACACTACACGGTGAATTTAAGAACGAGTTCTCACAATGTGAAAAATATCTTTTTGTCAGATGTTGCAAAAGGGATGAAAAGATAATAAACAAAATTAATGTTGAAATGGTTCGTTTTTGAATGGAGTCCGGTGTGTGCAGGCAGGGTTCAGACAGACAGATTGTTTGTACAACTGATGATTGGAGTGTGTGTGTGTGTGTCCAGCTCAGACTAAGTGGGTCAGCGTCTCTGTAGTGGGCGAGTGAGTTATAGACCTGCTGAGATAAAGAGAGCCAATGATACTTGGAGCTTTACACATAATGTATTTGAGTGTGTGTGTGT